TTAATGTATGCAGCTGATAAATCATTCAAATGTATTTTTGACAGCCTTTCTCCAGCATGAGTATTTGTTGTTGCTTCCTTCATCCATAGATTTGACATGACTGTTGGATGCTTATTGTACAGATCAAATAGATACAAACAGCAAATTCTGCAGTTACACAGTTTTGTGTCTCAGGTTGTTGATCACCACAGCCCCCCTGCGCTTCCCTCCATTATAAAAAGGCGTGTTTGTGTGAACTAAAGCCTCACTGTTTGTGCACCTGTTCACTGTTTGGTTAACCTGCTGCTGAATGAATATCTCACTGGCTACAAACATCAGCCAATAAATACAGCTGTAGGCCATCTGTGCATTTTAAACAGTGGTTAAGGAAGATCCTGCAAGGGGAACAGAGTTGTGCCACTCTATAGATTTTGTATATGTTTATTTTTAAAGGATTATACTTTTTTGGAATGTGTCACAAGACAGATCAAATCAAGTGAAAAAAGAGACTAACGGTGTGATGCTTAATCCCTAAATAGACTTGTCTTTGCAAAGCACTCATGAGGAAAATAAAATACTGAATAGTCTGACGAACAGAGAAGCCTCACTGATCCAATTATACTATAATCACACACAAACACACACACGCACACACACACACGCACACACGCACACGCACACGCACACACACACACACACACACACACACACACACACACACACACACACACACTAGTCAAAAGTCTATATTAGAATACAAGTGAAAACATTGTTTAGGTCTTATCTACATTTTTCTTCATGACTAAGACACGGGTGAAGACAGGTTTGTAAAGATTTTTTTTTTTTTTTAAAGAAGACACAGGTGAAGATTTGGATGGTGATTATTTGAGAGTTTGTTGTTGTAATAATCTTTTGGGACACAAGGGTTTGGAGTATGCCACCACTTTACGTCTTTAACGGACTGAAAGCAATCCTGTTTTCTTCAATGTGAGCTTTGACGTTCAAAGGATACGTTTTGCCGGATGATGCTTTTTCTTTTTCAGTCATTTTCCCATGTGTTTGCTGTTGTAATAATCCAGGGCCGTATTCATGGAGTCAACATTGGGGGGGACCAAAAATTCAATACAAATTTGAATACTAATTTCCTGCCATTCTAAAGGAAAATACATAAAAAATCACTAACACATTGGATACTTTAAAACCTGTTAAACCCCATGCCCCTGCCCGTGGGGGCAAAACACAACAATAGTCACAAAACTGTGTCTCAGGCATGGGTGTAGGAAGCATCCTCAATGTGGGTGGGACAATTTGACGGGGGATGTAGGCGGGCGGGGGACCTAAACCCCTCTAGGGGGGTCCGGGGGCATGCTCCCCCGGGAAGATTTTTTTTTTTTTAAATGTTGAAGTTAAAAGCATCAATCTGGTGCACTTTGAGAGCACCATTAGGGACTAAATCTATGGATACATCTCAACAACACCCATGTGAAACAGAACTGAATAGATTTACTTTTTCTTTATGCATATTTTACAAATCACTCCCTTTTTAAACTGTAGTATGAGTTGGAATGATGTCATACCTGTTATTCTGTTATTCTCTTATTTTGTATAACTATAATGATCATATAAAAGATGTGCCTTGGAAATACTTGTTTTGCATCAATCTTGATTCGGGTACTTATTATATGTTATAGTTTGGATTCCTAAAGCTTTTAGTCTACTATCCCATCATTCAAGGGTGGTTTTCACAATAAGTAATGGTTTATTTTTTGCACGGACACTATCATTATACATTTTTTACTTTAAAAACACCTATATTGATTCTGACTTTTTCTACATCCAACTCACAGGTTTATCATTGCTTTGAGAAAAAAGATTATTCATTTAACCATTTTTAGAAGTGAAGATATAGTCAATTGTTCTGGGAATGTCATTTTCAAACCTGAGACCTGAAAAACAAGCTTGGGGCTTAACTGGTTAAAATGTTTTACCATAATGTCTAATTGTGCATTGTATTACATCGCCCTATTTTATCTAGTTTAGCTTTTCTTGTTTTGTTGTTTGTAATGGCAGAGATTAGGGATGAATAAAGTACAACTATAACCATAATCACATTAAAGCATTTCAATCCATAGAAAGGTATGTGCCACGTAATTTCAGTAGAAACAGGAACACTTTATTGCCCTTTTGTTTTACAGCCACGACTCGCACTAGCTGCTTGCCGCTCATTCAAAATCAAAAAGACCCCCAACTTCCTCCCAGACACCCGCCCAAAAAGCCCAACCCTCAAGTAAAGGACCCAAAAGCCTTTTTGCGCTTATCGTTGGCACTGATAAAAGACTGGCATATTCCTTCAAGGTCCAGTCTGTCCAGTTTCTTCTGGTGCACATGACATATGGCCACATTATTCAGCCTCGTTTGACTCATCGATTATGTCTTAAGCCTCTTTAGGGCACTAAAACTCCTCTCAGCCTCTGCAGAAGAGGCAGGGACGACCAACAGAAGCCTTACTAAAGCTTCCACCTGACCGAAGAGACCTCTCACCTCTGGCACCATTTCCCGAATAATGCTAGCATTAACATCTGAGCTTGAGCTCCATGTCACCAGCGCACACTCTCCCTGTCTGGTCGCCATGCTCACATTCTCTCTCTCTCTCCCTCTCTCTCTTTACTCTGAACACACCAGAGTGAACATGGAAGAAATATCAGTAAACTATTGACTAGAAAGACTGTTGATACACATTATACATATGGGGGGACACAGGAGTCTGTACATTAACATTAGACTGCTATGTTGTCATTATTCTGTCTTAACCATCAATATAGCTCCTTTCTGACTTACCTCCATGTCACCAGCGCACACTCTCCCTGTCTGGTCGCCATGCTCACATTCTCTCTCTCCCTCTCTCTCTTTACTCTGAACACACCAGAGTGAACATGGAAGAAATATTATCAGTAAACAAGCTATCTGACTGGTAACAATACTCACTTTCTCACTGCTCTTAACTTACTTTTTTTCTTTTCTGAGGCTGCCCAAAAAACTGTCTAATGTCACTGCCACCCTTCCTCTTGCTCATGCTTAAAGCTTGACCTCGGCGATCTGCAGTTGCTGATGTGATGAATACGGGTCAGCAGCGCTGGATATAAGATAATTAAACATGTTTATTAGCAATTCTGAGCGTTCTAAACCCAGCACAAGCTATGATGCACACTGCAAACCTCCTGCGTGTGAGTATCTTTTAAATGCTTCTGACGATTATGAAATACTATTTCATAATAATTGTTGAGTATTTATTATTTAATTAATTCTGGCACCTTTGGTATTCCATAGATGTCACACATCACAGTTTTAAATCTTTCCACACCCTACAAATTACAAAATAAAATAGAAATAATCCACATGAATAAATATCTATTGGATTACATCCAAAACGACACCGTCATTTTCCACATAGCTGACCCTAGCCCGCCAAACCCTGGCTAACAACTGAAACCAGCTAGCCCACAGCTAGTTAGCTACTATTCCTGAAAAGTTCGGTTTTAACATCAGAACTACAAGTTACTTACACAAAGAAGCTAAACCGGAGGGTTCATTAACATTAACATTACGAAATAAAATAATATAGATTACTTTAGGGCTAACTAGAAAAGATACCAGAACTGATGGAGGGCAAATTAAAACATGACTGACCTGCTTGGAGCATCAAGCTAACTGAAGGTGGACTCAGACGTGCAACAGCGAAATACACTCCCGGGTACAAAATAAGGAACCAATTTACATATGAAAAGAAATATCATTTTGGTGAAGTTCACAATAACAGAAATATAGATTTTCAAGTATACAAATAACCAAAATAAAGAAGTCATAGAATAGCAATTTTATTTTAATTAAAAAATTAAAAAATTAAAACTTAAAACTTTTTTTTTGGTGCTATTTATTATTTATACATTTTGAGTGTATCTGAATATTGGGGGGGATGTCCCCCCCCCAATGTATATGGTGAATACGGCCCTGTAATAATCTTTCCGGCAGCCAGGGGCACAACCTTTCCATGTTCTAGAATCTAGTAGGACTAAAAGTGGCACCGATAATAATAAGTTTCTAGCAAAAAGAAGTTATTACCATCATTTAATGTATAGGTGACTTATACACAATATATATGTATTTTGTGTTTAGTGTGCACGGAGATCTTGAAACCCACCTTGAAGAAAACATGAATACGCTTAGTCGTATTTAGAATAGCTGCCTCTTGTGGCCAAATTGTGTATTACAACAACAAACCATTACGTACAAAGATTAACCTGCCATCACTTTTTAAGCAACTTTTAGACTCATAAGCAGAGCAGTAAAAACATTTAACCTCACACTTAGAAATGGATTAGCAACACATTTTTTTTTAAATCACTTGCTTTTATTTTTATTTGAGTAACGGCATTTTCCACTTCAATATTAACTGTCAAGACAGTGCATTTGCTTATTCTGTCTCAGTCTAGCAAGCTATTTTCAGTTTATGTCTTTTTTCATGTTAAATAAGTTATTTCCCAGAATCTTATCAAAAGTACTTATTAGGTAAACACAATATTTCAAGTGGGAATTTTGCAGGAGAAACTCAGCTTTATAGATCCGTCAATGAAAATGATTAGTGTTAAATAATAATAATCAAATAATTTGTTATTTTAGTCGAGGACAACCCTACTTTTTAGAGCATATGTTGGTCATGTCAAAAAGAAGATGCGTATTTGTGATAGGGCTGTTAAATATGATCATTTTCATTAAATCGATCTGTTTAATATTTTTTACAATTTATTAATCGTTAAAGCTATTAAATATCAGAAAAAAATGGAAATTCCAATCACAGCTTTCACAGAACCCAATGATATTGACCTACAGTTAAAGCAATAATACAAAGTTCATATTACACAATAATTCAACAATGATGGCTGTTTTTTGTTTTTATCTTTGTTTTCCAGGGCAGCAGGAAAGCAGTTTCCAAGATAGTTTTTAAAGAGGACAAAGACTGATACCTGTGAGCGGGTCGTAAGATCTGTCCAGCTCTCTGGAGTCAGACAAACTCTGGTCCTGACTCCTGGATTTCATGTTTGTTGTTTGTGTCACTTCTTCCCGGAGCCCCGCGCTCAGCCTGCGGGACACGGCGCGCGCGTCGGAGCCGCAGCTCGTCTATGAATTCACTCCCGTTTGCATATCACTTTCTGCAAGAACCAGCCTTTGTGCGTGATGCAAACTGGTCTCAGATAAATGGAGGACAGAAAAGTGTAGAAAAGATCCGTGCAAAAGGAATAATGTTCTCCATCCAAACTCTCCTGAGCAAACGCGCGCTCTTCAAGGTCACTAAAAGGCTTCTTCAGGCTAAAGTGTTACATGTAAGGTTGGTTTACAGCAGAAATACGATGATTTAACTTTTATGAAAGTCCAAACATCCAGGAGAAATAACTAAGAGTCCGTTTGTCCGCCGGAGCATCTGCATGTGTCAGAGCTGAGAGGAAGAGGAAGAGTGAGAGAGATAAACAGCTGGGAGGAAGAGAGTGATGAAGAGAGAGGGAGTGTTCAGACAGACAGACAGACAGACAGACAGACAGACAGACAGACAGACAGACAGACAGACAGACAGACAGACAGACAGACAGACAGACAGACAGACAGACAGACAGACAGACAGACAGACAGTATATCTGCTGATCTGTTCTCCCTGATGGACGCTCTCACCTTGGCTCTGCAGGAAGGAGTAATACCTGCGGATCGATACCGTGTCAGCTGCACGTCCTTGGGCTGCTTAAAGAGGGACTCACTCACATTTCAGGTAAATCCAATTACCAAGGTCGCGATTCAAGGTAAAAAGAAACATAGAAAGAGTGGAAGCCCATTACACTGAGAGAAACAAATCCCCTGTAAATCATTATAATAATTATATTGCATTATTATGACTTACTTTCTCATCTGACTAACTAATCGAAATGATGGGATATTAAGCCAAAATAATGAGGTATCAAATAAAAACAATGAGGTATTAACTCAACATAATGAGATAGTAAATCCAAATAATGAGATACTGTATAGGTCATGATAATGAGACATCAATTCCAAATAATAAGGTATATGAGATACAAAGTCAAAATGAATAGAACATTATAATTGTCTCAAAATATGGAGAAAGCTTTTCATAATTTTGTGATGCTAAGTCATTATTTGGAGATGGTTCCTCTTTATAATGATAAACCGGATATACAGTATATAACTTAGTACTGGGCAACGATTCCAATGTTTAATTGCGATTAATCGCATGATTTTTGCAATGAATCGTGATTAATCAAATTGTTATGCGCAAAATTCAAAAGTAGTGTATTGCACTTTTAAGTACTGCTATGAACATTTGGTTTGTAAACACTTTTTAAAAAAGTGCTTTTTAACAGCAGTATTCACTTTACACAGTATCAGTCAACATTTATAAATCTCAATTTAAACATGAATTAATGTAATCAAATCAAATATAAAACCAAATCTATTTGCCACTGCCAAGGCATTAACGTTTTATCTAGTTTGTTATAGAAAATGTCCATGTAATATTAATTTAAAAAACGGTTAATAATTGTAATAAAAAATTGTAAGCTTAGTTCATTAATCCGTCAACGCGATTATACCACGTTAACTTGCCCAGCCCTAATATATATATTTAAATAAAATATTTTTGGGGCGGTAACAGGCTAACATAATGATCAAACAGCATAGTGGAGACTGATGAGGCTGAGCTGATTTATGGAATAAACTTTGAGATTTCCACAAGCTGTGTTTCCCATCATATAATTCTATTTTAAAATGTTAAGCCTTTTGGGACATCATCAAGGTTTAAAACAAGGGTGTGATTCAGTAGTTGTTCACCAAAGATTATTAGGGCCAGGGAAGGGGAAAAACAAGACAATATGTCACGAAAAAGTAAAACGTTCATTATAGTTCAAGGCATAAACCAGAACCGGTCTTTTTATTTTTTTATTTCATGAACAAAATAAAATAAAACTTCTAGCAGTAGTGCATATACTGTAAATTGACATTCAGATTTGATTCAGTTTACTTTTTTTGGAATACCAAAATAAATAAATACAAAAGTAAATGTATTTGTTTTTTTACCATTATGCCTGGCCCTAATACTCTTCCGTAGATTTTTTATGTAGTTTCATGCAGTCGGGTTGGATAGACCTAAATACTGGCTTTTAAAATCCAAAAGATATATTTCAAATTACTATCTGACCTCACGGAGGCTTATACAATAGCCCTCATAGACAGGAGAGGGGTAACTCTGTACCTGAGGTCTCTGTGGTTTCATGTATAATCATGGTCGCTGAAGATTGGGAATATTCTCGGAAAATGTTATTAAGGGAAGTAATCTCCTGCGATTAAAATGTCGGGGGCTTGACCGATTTGAACCTGTACTCCCAAAGTATAAAGTTATTGTTGGTGGCTTTAGGGCCGCCAAAAGATGCATCACTTCTGAGTCAGGAGCATCTCACTTTCTGTATATTATTCTGTGGATTAATGATGTAAATGAATGCGCTCCTGTTGGGGGAATAACCTTGAGAGGTATTCAGGTAATAGGTTCCATTGGACCTGGAATCCATGATGACTGGTATTGATTTGTTTAATGTACTTGCTACTTTATGTTATTTGCTTTTAATCTCTATATCTTATTATGTGCTGTGGGAGTTTTATATTAGAGGACATGTGTATGGGAAAGAAACGTGATGTGTATAGCTGTGATAAATGCAGGATACTGGTTGTATTCCTACAAAATAAATCATATTTATGTTAATCATATTTTATGTAATTGTCTTTCTTCAGAACCACTTTAGTTATATTGCCCGTATAAAATGGAACACTTCTAGGAGATGAAATATCCTAGTACCCCATTTAATACTGAAATCACTCTGTCCGAACGGTTCTATTTTTAGACAACGACAGGAGATATGTGCATCTGTATGGCCACATTGCCTCCAGCATGTTTGTTTTTTATTTTAGGCAGATTAAAGAAAAACATTTGTGGATGTGCTATGATGCCTTTCTTCCTCTGAAGTTGTGACGTTTGATACACTTTTCACCTATATTTTAGAGGAATTGTAATTTCCTTTAAACTAAGATCAAGTTTTATAGCTTAATTTTTTTTAATTTTTCAATCTACGAGATGTTTTCCTACGTTTGTCATGAAAAATCATGTCTCAGGAATGTAGGGTTTGGGGATTATGGTAGGTTTAAAAGAAAATATGAAGGCAAAATTAAATCTGTCCTCCGCTGTGACATCACGCACTCTAAAATCTAAAGAAGGCCTCTTTACCAAGGTCTGAACAATGTTTAATATCTCTAAAAGTAAGAATCAGATTTAAAAGTTGTGTTACACGAATAATGTCAGAAAGATGTGTAACATTTTAAAGTTGGAATGAGGTTTCTGAGTGAAAGTATGAATGAACAGTTAGCAGTTGAAGAAGGAGCAGTTAGCAGTTGAAGTTGCATGAAGATTGTTGAAGTCTGAAGAGTTTCTCCATTGACTTCCATGTTAAAAATGTGATGAATTATGGGATGTATCTCTGGAATTATGAAAGTTATGAATGATAAAAGTAATAGCCATCGATTCCCGACCGAGCTGAATGTTTTGACGTTTGAACGGAGTTTCTGCGATGTTCAATTTGGGAGAAGAAGAGGCGCAAAATAACCCGGCGGAATAATAAAGAATTCCGTGCGTAGCATAACAGATAGTTGGAATGCTGTGTCACTCAGCATTCCCACTAAATTAGGTGTAACACAACCCAACACTATTGGTTTGCTTGCCTTTAAAGTAAACTATCAAACCATCACGTAGAGACATGTAATGGGAAAATAAAAATAACCCCTTTTCCCAAGAAAAGTTCAATGATGCTTTTTGTGGGATAAACATGTGGTGAAGCTTCCTTAAAGACAGACGGGAGGCGGGTGAGGGATTATATGTTCCCCGTCAGAAGACTGATGGAGAGGAGAGAACATATCTATCTCCGGAAAAGAGCGGGACAAACCAAAACCAAAGACAGACCACAGACAGAGGCTTTGTGAAGTACAAAAAGAATAAAAAGATGGATAGTGGTGAAACTGAAAATAAGGAAGAATCCTCAAAAGAAGAAGACAGAGGGAAAACCGTGGAGATGTATTTGAATATATATTCCTCGCCTCGGGACGGTTAAACCATGCAGGATTGATGGTGTTTATCTCCCATGGGGGTTTACACAGAAGTGTAGCACTGCTGCAGGCTGGAAGGAGCTGACAGATAACCAATAATGAGCTCTGATGAAGTTATGCACGGTGAGAAGTGGGGAAACAGGTGAGGAATAACACACACACACTGATAGATACAGAAACACACACACAAACAGGTGGACTGTTCAGTGCTAAACAGAATATAATAATCATAAAAAGGTATAAAAATAGTGCCACATGTCCTCAGGAGGTGTGTTTTTGCTGATATGTACCCTCTGGAAAAAGGCAGTTTCAGTTGATTTTCATTTCATGAAGATGCAGGTGAGGCGCACAGATAAAGAAATTAAGGGGTGAGGGGGTGAGAGAGGGAGGGGGGGGGTGAGAGCGAGACAAAACAGGCAATCTCCCCTTAAATTAATATTTGATGAGAAGGCTGATACGCTTAAATGAAACGTTATAAATACACAGCGGTGAGAATGGGTTGTCTCATAAAAAGGGGTTTGTTTTATCTTAGCCGTCACACACACACACACACACAAACACACACACACACACACACATACACACAGTGCAGATATCTGTGGGTTGATATACTGCCCAATCTACAATAAAGCCAAAACAATTAGAGGGTTTGGAATGCTGGGGGATTGAGATGCACCATATTAAAAAGATATTGTACAAAGTGATCTCCAGAAACCATAAAAAACACTCTCCCTCGCACAGAAAAGGGCAAACACACACACTTAGAGTCCACCATGCCACAGTTGTATTCCCAGAGGCACATTATCATCTCTGGAAATGGATCTTCGCACGAACATGATGCCTGCGTGTCCATTAGAGGATTATCAGGGCAGTATTTTCAGGACCACAGTTCTAATCAAGCTTGGCCGAGATAATAAAGGGAAAAAAGGGAAGAAATAGGGATCATTGATGTTTATGGTTCCACTGCTGCTGCATTAGAGGCTATGCATGTCCTCACCCATCCACTACAAATGAATGAGCAAGGGCTTTTTGTGTAAAATGTATGGTACTGCAGTCATGCAATGAAAAAACTGACGCATTGATTTTTATTTAAATGTATTATCTCAACAGATTTCACATCACTGTATTGGTTAGTTGAAAGC